TACCATTGACAAAAATCATCAGCACGGATTTCAGAAAATGTTGGAATACTCAACGAATAAACATTACATTTCAATGCCATTCCTTTTCATGAAGGTCACCTTCTGCACAGGTCTACATTTGACTGAAGAATTCTAGTTTTCCACCAACCCATGGACGTGTTAAAATTTTGACTTAAAGCTTTCGTGACTGCAGGAATTCATATTCTTGGGTCTTTCGGTAAAGTCACGTAGATAGGTTCAAAGAAAATAACAAAAAAAACTACGACGTTTCGATCGCAACACAATCAATCGTCATCAGGAGAAAAAAAGAAGGGGAAAGCTGCTGAGGCGGCAGGATGTTTTAAAGGCTTCCCTGCCTCAGCAGCTTTCCCACTCTTCTTGATGACGATTGTTTGTGTTGCGATCGAAACGTCGTAGTTTTTGTGTTTGTTATTATTGTTATTTTCTTTGAACCTATCTCCGTGACTTTACCGAAAGACCCACGAATATGAACGTGCTCTTCGGTTCTTTCGGTAAAGTCACGTAGGTAAAAAAATAAAATAAAAAATACATCACGACGTTTCGATCGCAACACAAGCGGCCGTCCTCAGGCGGAAAAAAAAATCCAGCAGTGGAACTGCTGAACCGTCGTGATATATTATTTTTTATAGGAATAGGTTTTACCCTTTAAACTGGCACAGTTTAAAGTCTGGTCCAACACCAATGGAGACTGGGCTCTAAGAAAAGCCGTCTCGGGTGTGGACCAATCAAATTCAAGGACAGTGCCAATATTATTATTATCAGAGTTGTCTTTTTTGTTTGCATTTTGACTGCTTGTGTTGTGGTTATTGCACACATGATGCCTTGAATAAAGGTGTCAGTTTTTGTGCCAGTTAAAAGGGTAAAACCTATTACTATATCTTGTTACTGGCAAAAGGAGGTCTCGTAATATTATTTTTAATTTTATTTTTCTACCTACGTGACTTTACCGAAAGAACCAAAGAGTATGGGATTCCTGCAGTCACGAAAGCTTCAAATCAAAATATAAACGTGTTTGTTCGAAGCTGATTTCAATGTTGGCACTGCACGGCTGAACATCAATGCAATAGTAACAGGCTGCGTCAATTAAGTTATTCTGATTTACAAGCTGCTGGACCGTGCAGTTTACGAAACGAGCGTTTCAACATCGTGGCCATTTGTTTAACTTTATGTGCGCGAGCCGTGGGTTGTAATATTACGCGTCCAACTGGTGTAAAGTATGCAGAACGCAGTCACAAAGCCATAGCTAATGTGAACAACGTCGTGAAGTGGTCAAGGCCCATTTACCGCACACTTTAAGGCACCGCTCGTAGTTGAAGCTGCATACCGTCTTGCGGTGTTGTGCGCGTGGTGCACACAGGCTCCCCCGCCATGGCCTTGTACCCTTCCTGAAACAACATCCCTCACTGCCAAGCCACTGGGAAACGAGCATGGGAGTGGCAGGTTGACTCGGCCCTACGGCCCGATATGTAACGCAGGTTGCACGTTGCGCACGTACCGCACATCCTTCTCCTGGTGCTGAAGGCGTTGTTAAACTTCGCGGTGTGTTTTTCTTTTTGATTTTGTTTTGTTTCAAGTCGGGGAGTAATCATTTATTTTAACTTATCGTAAGTATTGAACGAGGTATACCTAGGTCGGCTATTTAAGGCAAAACCGAGGTGAAACTTTGAACACAGAGGCAAACGAAAGCGGGTTTGAGTGTTTTTAGAAAAAATGAACTTAATAATGATAAGCAACATACCAATATTCCTAATGTTGGATATGGTCTTTTTTCATCGGTGCATATTACCTGCTACAAGGACATTGATGAAGAAGATTAAACAACTGCAAGAGCATGGAATCGATCACATGTAGAGCTTTTAACGTATTCACTGCATCTTAAATGGTTATTTGGAAAAACATAAAGACCTCTACATGTTTATCATTTTTTTTATGTATGTTCAACTTCTTTCACACCATACGTAGCTAACCCTGCTAATCATTGGTGCGAGGGAAGGACAACAAATTAAACACACGCAAAAAAATAAGTTTTAAAGAAATGAATAGGATGCTTCTGGAAAATGACAAATACATATTTGATGTTACGTGTCACACCATGGCATTTCATTGAATCACACTGATTCAATGAAATGGCACTGTCTGTTTGGGGTTGGCTATAAGAGGGAGCAACTCCATTCCCAAAGTATCGTTAAGTAATATACAAATCATTGTGTTGTTTTACACAACACCAAGGCTCTACATACATTATATATGCACCGTATTTATATTATCAGAAGTATAAATGGGTACATCAGAGTCCATTGGCAGCTCATGTGTTGGTGGAGTAAAGTGAGTGTACTCTTAACTCTTCCAAGACACATGATCAGCATGAAAGAGTAGGCCAAATACACTTGAGAGAGAGAGGCCACTCTAGGTCACGATGCAGCGAAGCGCTGTCTCTAACTCGTGGAGGCTACTTCTTACAGCAATGGCATGAGCCAGTCAACGCGGGGCTGGCACCTTTAAAAATTCAAACGTACAAATTTTGATTTAAAGCTTTCGTGACTGCAGGGATTCATATTCTTGGTTCTTTCAGTAAAGTCACGTAGAAGGGAAACAATAAAATAATAAAAATATAAAACAATAAAATTATCACGACGTTTCGACTGCAACAATCATCATCAGGTGTGAAAACCACAGCAAGAAATTTTGAAAAAAGTGGCGGTTTAGTAGTTACATTGGAGAAACCAAACGACATGTCTCGGACCGCATTCGTGAACACAAAGCAGACCTAAAACACGGTAGGATCAACACCTCGGCCGTGGCAGATCACTGTTATAATTCAGTAGGTTCACATGACATTGACTTCTCCAAGACAGAGGTTCTTTGCAAGCCATCTGGCTACCATGAGAGATTCGTTCATGAGGCTATCAATATATACAAACACAGAGACAATTTCAACCGAGAAGATGGATTCTTCTCATTTCGGGTCTTAATTGATTGTTCACGCTTACGGTGGCTTTTAGACCGCATCCATTATTTTCGTCTCCCCCCTCCTCTTTTCCGAACATAGATGGACTCGTCCATCTGAATAATTGCCAAATCGCTCTCCGTGGTGCTAACTTTAAAAAAACCGCCACTTTTTTCAAATTTTCTTGCTGTGGTTTTCACACCTGATGATGATTGCTTGTGTAGCAGTCGAAACGTCGTGAGAATTTTATTGTTTCATATTTTTATTCTTTTATTGTTTCCCTTCTACGTGACTTTACCGAAAGAACCAAGCATATAAAACGTACAACGTAACATTTTAAGCGGTGTTTATTCACATGGACATGGTTATTGGAACACAACTGGTATATAAAAAAAAAACTTTCGTACAAAAACTGCAAGAGCGCAATAAAAACGTGTACATATTCATGCGGCAATAATATGCAAGGTTCACAGGGTGAAACCCGTCACAAGCTATGCAACTATTCCGATGAAACTGTTCACTTTTACAAAACTAACACCTTTGTAAAATATATGCATTTCATACCACTTGCAATGCTGAGATAAATCGCATAGATACATATTGCGGTGTTGTGCTGGCATTAGAAGGCAAGGTGTCGGTGATGATGGCGATGATGCATGATGTAAATGCCTTAACATATTATGAAATGCAATGCAAAAAAATGTAATGTATAAAACACTGCTAATGTTTATAGACAGCCATAGGTTAATTTGATTCCAGGATTTGCTTTTGGCTACAGAAGAAAGTAAACATGAAAAGGGAAATATAGGACCTGTAATGGTTTACTGAGCGAATGATCTAGGCTTCATGGATGTTTGGTGTAATATAAGCGAAATATTAATAAAGCTATGATTCATAATTGATATTTGGATCAGATCACAATAGTAAAACGTCTGATGATGCTGGTTGTGACTATCAGCGAAACGTTGTACCCATTTGTTAAATGTCATGACATTGCTCTGCACCACACCGGTGTGCTTATGCAGTAATAAACAATGCGATGTTAACTTTTCATTGCTAACGTTATTAAATGGCAGTGTCGGGTGGAGGAGGGTCTACGACATACATTTATTTTTTCGCTTTCGGACTCATGAACCAATTATTAATCAGTATTAGTCGCGAAAGCCTACGTGTTAGATATGAACACAGAACAAGGAAATACATTGCATGTGTTAAGGGTATTAATAATGAAAAAGCCACGAAAATTTAAATGTGGAATATTTCCCCATGACTATTTCCCATAGTTTTACACTGTGCTAGTTATAATTTTGTTATTTAAAAAAAACCGACATTATTTGGCCAAATCTGAAGGTATACATTAACTATTATTTAATCATCAAAAAATATATATATTCCATCATAACGAACATTTGACAAAATCCTGCCCTCAATGTAGCCTCATACGGTGGCTAAACCATACCCAGCCAAGCTCTAAACACGGCACAAGAGCCCTCTCTGGTGTCCGCATAACAGCACTGACTTGTGACACTTCGTAAGGATGTGCATTTTAACGCCGACGTTGTCATTGGTGCTCAGCATTTATGTGTCACAGGTTACACGTTAAATTAAATATAAGGAGCTTCGTTTTTTTTAAAGGGAACTGAAATGCGTTTCTAGAGGACTTCAATTGTAAAGATAGGGCTATCAAATGCAGCTTAATTGCAGTTGCTAAGTGGTTTATTCCATCGCAACATTTTAAGAGGTGGCTGTAGCCCGGGGAGGCTTTCATCCAGTCGTGGATTGACAATGACATATGATTTCGATTTAAAGCTTTCGTGACTGCAATGATTCATCTTCTTTGGTTCTTTCGGTAAAGTCACGTAGAATGATAATAAAATAATAAATTGATAAAATAAAATAACACAGAATATTATTGTGTAAATTGATAAAATAAAATAACACAGAATATTATTGTGTTATTTTATTTTATCGATTTATTATTTTATTATCATTCTACGTGACTTTACCGAAAGAACCAAAGAAAATGACATATGATGATGGAATACTACTTATTGTTCTGCCCAGAAAACACACGTATTAAGCCCGTCCGTGTGTCTGTCTCTCTCCATCCGAGGGCACGTCACATCACAAAAATATAACCCCTACACCAATCGCTATTGAAGAGATCAATTTACAGACTGTTATATATTTTTTGGCCAAGACTGTGATTCAATATTTTCAAAAAAGCATGGTTTTTTTATGAGAAAAAAGGTAACTTTATGCTTTATACCAGTGCAATTAATGTGAGTGTGTTGGAATGTGAATGCACAAAGATACCAAAAGTGACTTTGCATTTGTGCTTGTTTGTTTCAATAGTCGAATTTACAAACAAAACAGAGGCTTCCTTAATATGCTCGCTCGCCAACTCGATTATGTCCAATAGGATACCTCTATTGTACAGAAGTTGCAAGAGGGCATTATGATAACGTTTATTTAACTAATTTGGAAACATAAAATGCTCGGTTAAAAGGTGATTTGAAGCCTTACGCTTTGTTTTGTCACACTTGACAAAATTGACCTTACTCTATTAAAATCTTTATAAATAAACGATACACGGACTATTTACTCTAAATATTACATCATATTTTATTGTACGTGTTTCCCACAGCAAAGATGTTCCTGAGTTTATTTAAATCTTCATCGTCGATTGTTTCATAATCGTGTATGTCTTCGTCTTCCAAAAGTTTAACTGCAATGACACGTGAACCAATTGTTAGACGTGCAACACTCTCATCTGTGTCTTAAGTCGGGTCAACAGCTAACCATCAGTTATGCAACCAGATCGCTCTCAAAATGACGCTAATTACTCTCCTGCAACGGCTTTGTCCACATGTCCACATCTGCGCGAATAGTGTTGCAAAACAGGTGGTCTGGGCTTAGCTAATGTGTCTGATCATGTCCCTTTAGAAGTTTAGAGCATAGTCCTGCCCCTTATCTGGTTAGCTCCACCCCCCCCCATCATCCAAGTTATAATTTTAACGACCAATCATGTTTAACACGTAGGCTTTCTTCACAAATATTATCCATGAGAGGTTTTATTTTGGGTTTGATCGTGTAAGTATAAATGTGTCGTTAAACCCGCCAACCACCCGACAGCCAATTAGTAACTGTTTTTCACGAAAACAAAACAAGCCAATTCATTACTAGTACAGTACACTGGTGTGTTGGAGAGTACATCTACAATATTTACAATTCGAGTACATCGTTACGCCAGTAATTACAACTAACATCATCAGGCAACAGCCAAGTCTAGCTGATGCTAGCTGTAATTACTGGCTGTCGCCTGATAATGCTCGTTGTAATTACTGACGAAACGCGGTATTTAAATTGTAAATGTTGTGGGGTTACTCTCCAACACACCGGTGTGCAGTACTAGCAACGAATTGGCACATTTTGTTTAGGTGACAAACCTTACTAAATGGCTGTGTCGGGTGGTGGCGGGTTTCACGACACATTTACATTCACGCAATCTAACCCACCCCAACCTAAAAAAAAACTCTTATGAACCAATCATGTTTGTCCAGGTGATGAACCAAGTTACCACACATTGCTGAGCAGATTGCTTGCGAGTAGAGTTTAGTTTATTAGTCCAGGATGAATCTCATTTGCAAGAGTAACAGGGGGAATTAATCTGCCAGTAGGGTTTCCAATGACTGCTATGTATAGTCCAAACTATGACGTCAGGGAAACCAACCTATGACGTCAGAGGATTTTTATCGTCCACTGTGAAGCAGACGGCATGTACAATTATAATGGTTACTACACCCGCAGTGATAATCAGGGCGGCGTTCGATTAGAACCATGAGCCTCTGTATAACCACTGAATGCGCTTCCGCTAGGCCTTGTCTCTGTTTTAGCCAATCGGTTGCTCAGCTTTTCGACAATGACACCAGAGATGTCCACATTTAACTGATTCCATTGCATGCAAGCAAGGTGTGTAATGGGTCATTCAGGTGTGGATGCGCCCTTAGAAACAAACCATTTTATATTTAGAATTGTCAGTGTGGTTTTGTGTAATAAGGGGCCGTCCATAAATTACGTCACGCGATATTGGACGATTTCTTACCCCCCCCCTCGTCACACGGCGTCACAAAAAGTCAAACCCCCCCTGAAATATGACTTCACAAAGCTCTGCCCCCCCCCCAAAAAAAATATAAAACATGCTTCAAATCGCTTTAAACTATTGTCATTGTAGTGCGTATTTAATGTGGCGCTGCACTCTGATGTAGTAGGAGAAAAAAATATATATTAAAAAGTATATTTTATTAAGTAGAACGTGCTGTCTACATTTATTTAAAGTTGCACATTTTGATGTGACGTCACATTTCTTAACTCCCCCCCCCTCGTCACAAATGTCTGACCCCCCCCCCCACCTAGGTGTGTGACGTCATTTATGGACGGCCCCTAAAGTAGCAGGATATTATTATTATTGCACATTGGAATGAGAACGTGTAACCAACGTTGAAAGGTGCTTTGGTCAAGCCAAGGGTTGCCTGTAGGATATTACCTGCCAATGTTCTGTGGGTAGACTCTTGAGAACATGTTTGCTGGTCAGTTGGTATTCCTGCTTCCACTTTCTTGGGAGTACTCTGCACGTGCAATGAAGTTGTGCAGCAAAGATAAAACGACTTCAACACTGTACATACATACACGGATATTAAATATTTGTTTAGACACTTGCGCGCGAACATGCCGTGTGGACGAGGGGATTCCTAACCTGGCATTTCTTTATAGGTGGCTTCACGGACGGTTTCCTGCAGGGGATGGGCGGAGGCCGATCGATGATCCTGGTGTCTTCGTATATCAGGAGGCTATTGTAGCTGTGGAAGGACAGCCTCTCCACGTTGACCACATTCTCAACGAGCACAGTTTCTGCGGTCTCGGCCCCCCTGTATGAATGCATGCGGAAGGCCATGGACACCCGATCGATTGGGATTTCGAAAGGACTGTGCATGGCATGATCTAGCCCGTTGGATATACTTGCAACCAGGCAGCGGTCCATCACTTGATTCTCAAGCACCAGGGATCCCTGGATGGACACCAAGGGGTCACCGGGCATCCCATCTCCAGTGACAAGCTGCAAGGAAGAAATATACAATGTTACGTGGGCATTTAATACTTGAAATCCTTTTAACACCAGTTTCAGTCTTAAATTATCTTAGTAATACGGTATATAAAATATTTGGAAATATGCAGGATGTCTCTAAAGGTATAATCCATTTATGCAGAATTCGAAATAACATGTAAGTTTGATAAAACTATATATATACACACTCGGTAGTGTGTTCCCTGTGGCTTTGGTAACATTGTACTGAGATTTGAGAGTACCAGGTGTTGACTAACATCTCAGGTATCGTTGTTTACAGTGTTTATATTATTGGTTCTTTCGGTAAAGTCACGTAGAAGGAAATAATAAAATAATAAAAAATAAAACAATAAAATTCTCACGACGTTTCCATTGCAACACAATCAATCATCATATATGAGCACCGTGTTTACAAGTTCAAACTGCTGTGTTATTTAAATTATTTAATAATGGATGACACCTGCTTAGTGTTCCTGTATATAGTGTACATAGCACATTTTGTACAATAAAATAGGTTTGCAAAATCAGTAAAATATGCAATCAGTACTTAGCCCGGACCTGCGAACTTCACAGCAGCCAATAAACTAATTGTCACATAAACAAAAAGTGCCAATTTTGTTACCCAACAAATATAATTACCTTAATATTTTTTTTCTAGATTTAAAGCTTTCGTGACTGCAAGGATCCATACTCTTTGGTTCTATTTGGTAAAGTCACGTAGGTAAAAAATAAAACAACAAAAAATCACGACGTTTCGGCCACAACACAAGCGGCCTTCAGCGCTGTCCTCTAGACAGCCTGCTCCCTTCACCTGTTGAAGGCCACTTGTGTTGTGGCCGAAACGTCGTGAATTATCTTTTTTACGTGACTTTACCTTAATATTGACACGTGTAACACAAATGACGCCTGTGCACCACATTGCATTGTTTTTTTTACAATGTGGGTTTTTTCCAGAGAACAATTATGTTTTTAATGCAATTATTGTTCTGAACACAAAGGATCCATCCCACATAGGTCCTTTACACTTTGTGGGGGGAAAGCGCTGTAAGCGAGCACCTAACTTATGCAATTGAGAAACTTAAATCGCGGGTGAAATTGTCACTTAGGGGCCGTCCATAAATGACGGCACGCGATTTTGGACGATTTTTGACCCCCCCCTCAAATATGACGTCACAAAGCTCTGCCCTCCCCCCCCAAAATATAAAACAAGCTTCAAATCGCTTTAAACTATTCTATTGTCATTGTAGTGCGAATTTAATGTGGCGCTGCACTATGATGTTGAAGGAGAAAACATTTATTAAAAAGTCTATTTAATTAAGTAGAACGTTGTCTATATTTATTTAAAGTTGCGCATTTTGATGTGACGTCACATTTCTCACCCCCTCTCCCCCTCGTCACACATCGTCACAAAAGTCTGACCCCCCCCCCCCCCAGGTGCGTGACGTCATTTATGGACGGCCCCGAAGGCCTTCAATGGCACATCAGAGCGTGCTGTGGTCAGCACCAAAATAACAAAATATATATAAAACAATAAAAAATTCTCACGACGTTTCGACCATAACTCAAACGGTCATCATCAGGTGTGTTGGTTTGCATATTTTTTTTAAACGGCACATTTATTTATTTATAAAAAACGTTGGCGTCACGCGCAGCGATTGGCAGTTTGCCCAGGACTAGTCCATCTACAAACTAAGTTGCCTCTGTGGTAGTAGTTACATTGGAGAAACCAAACGCCATGTCTCGGACCGCATTCGTGAACATAAAGCAGACCTTAAACACGGTAGGACCAACACCTCGGCCGTAGCAGATCATTGTTCTAATTCAGTAGGCTCACATGCCATTGACTTTTCCAAGACGGAGGTTCTTTGTAAGCCATCTGGCTTCCATGAGAGATTCGTTCATGAGGCTATCAACATATAAAAGCACAGAGACAATTTCAACCGAGAAGATGGATTCTACCTTAGCAATCATTGGAAAGATTTGATAAATCATTTCAGTTCTTGATTGATTGTTCACGCTTACAGTGGCTTTCAGACAGCATACATTATATATATTAAAAAAAAAATCGTCTCCCCCCTCCTCTTTAAAAAAAAAATAGATGGACTAGTCCTGGGCAAACTGCCAATCGCTGCGCGTGACGCCAACGTTTTTTTTATAAATAAATAAATGTGCCGTTTAAAATTTTTTTTTATGCAAACCAACACACCTGATGATGACCGTTTGAGTTATGGTCGAAACGTCGTGAGAATTTTTTATTGTTTTATATATATTTTGTTATTTTGTTGTTTCTCTTCAACGTGACTTTACCGAAAAAACTAAGAATATGAATTACTGCAGTCACGAAAGCTTTAAATCAAAATCATGGAACTTATTTAAGCTTGAGATTAGCCGGTGGCCCCAGAGGCCCAGGACCAGTTGAAGTACAGGTATTCGCTACTGATGATGGTGGCCTTGAACGAGAATCTAAGTTAACATGTGTGTAACACTGAAATACATTCGCACGCTTAATTCTGCTGTTACCTTGACTTCGCAGGGGAGGCCAGCCATCTGCACAATCTGGCTGATCGGCATGGGCTCCTTTTTCTGCCGCACGATCTCCAAGAAGCCGGCATTGGAATAGTCAGCCAGATGCACGGTCGTGTTGTCCAGGAGACGCTGCACCTTTAAGACCTTGATCTCCCGGCCGCCGATTCGTTTTGTGATGCATTGCAGTGCTTCGAAACGATCTCCAATGTCGATGGACGTTATTTCTGAGTTGTCTGATTCCCAGGATTGTGTGGCCATGAACTGCATGTTTTTCATTGCCGCGTCCTCCATGTTAATTTTATATAGGCAGGCAAACTTCTGTGGCAGACAGCGAAATTGCCCCTTGTATTCAGGAGGAATGAGAAAATGCTGCTTTTCCTGCGAGTGTTTCTTTTCCATTTGCCCCTTCACGTTGACTGTGTGCGTGGCCATGAACTTCGTGGTGACGCGGGCAGCGTGCATCCTCAATTGTGTGCCTACTTCGCATGCGACGTAGCCTTGCCGAAAAGACAAGTTGCTGCTGCAGCTCTCACACACCTCCACCAGCAGTGGGAACTCTTCTGCCATTGCGTACACGTCGCTCAACGAGTAGAAAGGTATGTCTATCTTAAAGTCTTGTTGACACATGTCCGTTATATCTTTTATCTCCACGTCCAGGTTCGAGAGAAACTTGAACTTCCTACCTGTCTCTGAAAGATTCGAAAAAAAAGATACATGCACACGTATGTTTACAGTATTTGTATAATACTCAGTGCATATCGTAAATTTAAATATAATTTTGTATGTGAACATATGTGATGCTCTTTTGTAGTAATCATCATGAGCAGCATAATCAGGGCGGGTTAGTGCAGGGGCTTCAGGTGTTGCAGCTTGGGGCTTAAGATTGTTTAGGGCAGCAAAACATGTATACTGCTTCATGACAGTTGAAATTATAATCAATGCATCACTATTTGTTACTACCAGTAATGTGCCAAAAATAAACTGGGTTCGACGTTCCGCTGATAGTTACAGCCAAATATCATCAAGCAGTTGCCAGAATTGTGGAAAAGTCTTCCAGTCGAGGGCCTTCTTAAATCGGTCGAGCGAGCTCATCAGTGGCCCACAATGGAGCAAGAAGTGGCAGGAAGTGATATGAAGAGGTTAATGGCTTTGCATAAATAATATTTTAGCTTACATTAAATAATGTTAATATGTAAATACAAAGGCATATATATGATTAAACAACTTAGTCATAGTTACTAAACTATCTTAGCTAAAATCTGTTTTTTTATTTTGCCAGGTAAGGCCCACTGAGCTATATAGCTCTTTTTCAGAAGCGACCTGGCCACACAAGGTATCTCAACGAAGTGGCTTATCGCGTGGAAAGGTATCGCAGCCAAATACCCCAAAAGCATGTTGATTCTAAATGTGGAGGGAAAAACCAGAGGACACGGAGAAAAGCCACGTGACCACAGGGAGAACACGCAAACTCCAAATATACAGGCGTCAGGGTTGGGATCGAACCCACGACTTCCTGTTAACCAGGCGAGGTAGTTAACATATCATAGATGGTTAACATAGATGGTTATATTAGACTGATAAAGTACGTGATATGTTAATATGAGGTACACATATTTAAGTAGGTATATTTGTTAGTCGTAGTTAATTACATGCAATTATTAGTAATGTTATAATAGCGCTGTATTAGTTTAAATGTAAATACACTTTTAACGTGAATTGAAACTACTTTTAGCAGTGCATATCTGACCTGCTGGGGACTGAGGTACAGGCACATATGTGAAACTGTTGGATATGTGAACATCTATCGGTTACTGGAACAAAATTAAGTGCAAACTGCTATAAACATATGCAAGATGACGATGACATCACTGTATGTCATAAGGTTGGACATGTGAAATCTGTAGAAATTAGTTACACCATGCACAAATAATGCATTGAGTATTCTAGATTTAAAGCTTTCGTGACTGCAAGGATCCATACTCTTTGATTCTATTCGGTAAAGTCACGTAGGTGTTTTATTTTTTACCTACGTGACTTTACCGAATAGAACCAAAGAGAATGCATTGAGTGTGGATGGTTAACTGATCAAGCCGGATATCTGACGGTAAGATATACGTTGCAATTCAATGGGCAAAGGCTCGACTATTCAGTTGTCTTGTTTGATAGTTAATGTCTTCAGAACAAACTTACCCTGCAAAACGCCCTTGACAGTGTAGACTGGGTTTAGCAAAATGATGTTTTCAAAGTTCATTGGAAGTCCTGGAATTGGGGGTTCCGTGCTGTACGGATCGTAACGGACAATGACCCTTCTCTGCTTCTGCTGAATCGCCTCTTGTAGGGTCATTTTCTTCATTTGACTGAACATATTTCTGGAATCCATGTGGTGTGACTGATGAAAAAAACAACAACCACACACACCGCTTCTCATCATGTGGGCATCTTATAAACAATAAAAGTTTACGATTAGAAAGTAAACCATTAAATCCATTAAACCCTGAACTGCATGCCAATTTGCAACTATCTAATGTGCACTTAGAGCCTGCGAAGTTGCAACCGACTGATATACACTGCAGTCATTTCCATCCCGACGACTGAACCTCATGTGATAGCTTAATCTGAACAGCAGAGGGCGATACAATCTAACAGGAAGTTCTACTGATATGATTCACAACAGAATACATGTCATGTTGGTTATTGACCAGGGGTCTGCAATCAAAACAACGGGAGACATTTTTTTATTCGGTAAAAAAATAAACGCAACGCAATGTGAATACACGACGGTGGCTCCTTAATACAGAGCCACATGTAGCTCCCGGAGCCGCAGGTTGCCGACCCCCTGGTTAAGAAAGACACTGGCATCTGATTGACATGTGATAAACATCCCATAGGGCGGTCATTTGGCACGGAGTAAAGTTGTCAGCCGATCAAAGGCTCAAATATGATACCGATAGCACAATTACATTCTAGCAGCATCTGCTAAAAAAGGAACTGTTGGAGACCTGCTGTGTCTGCGAGAGGCTGCCAACTTTAACCGCAGTGAAAAGTACGTTCCCAGAGTGAGAAATGGATATAGATTGCTTGTAAACCACATGCAATGTGCAAGCACATAGTTGTCAATCCACTGCTGGGGTTGAGGGTCTTTCAACAATGTTGGCAGCCATTGGGGATAGTTGACCGTACTTCACCGCTGCGGCCGGTGCGTGTCGGTGAAGGTAGGTGGCATGTAGAACAACAGCGGGCTTCGCTAAGGCTGCCCGCCGCTGCCCACAAACAGTGGTTGTCCATCCAAGCACTATTTCAGGCTCCGGCCTGCTTAGCTTACGAGCTCTTACTAGATCGGGCTCAATACAGGTGATTTGGTCATGTAACATCCAAATGTGTTTTTTCATTAAATACATGTTACCACTGTGTTGTACTATGAAACGGCTCTTATTCACGAACTATGCCCACATGCATGTCCTTTTCCTCCACAGCAAAGCAAAGCAAACAAAAAAAACAGTTGAATGGCACGATATCAGCCAAAATGAAGGCCGTTTGCTGGATATTAGTCACGAGAGTAGAAAGACAGAAGTTGTATTAATTGGCCAGGAATCTTTTTCCAGTGAACTTGAATATTGATACCATTGCCTTACACTTTGTGCATAGCTCTTAATTGTTGTTGGCAGACAATGCAAGAGGCAGGGTTTTTACTTACTCTGGCTTGATGATCATCAGGGGCACGCTCAAATAATCCTTTGGGAAGAAACGAAAATGTATTGTAAAATAGGAAAAACTTGAAAAAATGTTTTGGCACACTTATACCTAATCTGTAAGTGATAATGTATAATTTTTAGTTTGATTGTTGTTATTCACACACTTGTGCTGCTGATCACATCTTATTTGGCCACTTTTTAATTCATCTCCCGGAAGTATTTTCTGTTGTTTCTGCACGACGTTCGGGAAAATAACGTCCGAATTTTGTGTTGAGTTATTTCTTCTGTTGTATGGTTGTTGATGTAGATGCGGAGAAACAACTACAATTTCTGATGCAGGCGGTCAAGCCAGATAACGGAGTGGATTTAGTTTCAGTAAAAGGTCATACTATGCAGAAAACCTACACCGCACTTTTTGAAATATCCACTTATGACATATAGACATTTGATAGTCTTATTAAATGTGTAACGAAGTTCTACACTCATACAACAGGCATTAATTAGTTTTACTATTTTTATTTTACGAGCTAAGGTCCCACTGAGCTATCTAGATATTTTTCAGAAGCAACCTGGCCACAAATGATAGCTCAAAGAAGTGGCGGATCATGTGGACATTTATAGCAGCCAAATACTCGGAAAGCGTGTTTCTAAATGTGGAGGAAAAAAGCCAGAGGACCCGGAGAAAAATCTACACGACCACAGGGAGAGAAACATGCAAACTCCAAATATACAGCAGGCGTCAGGGTCGGGATCGAACCCACGATCTCCTTTATACCAGGCGAGGTAGTTAAAAGGAGGCAAACGGTTTTTAACATTGTCTTAAATAAAGATGTGGGTTCTAACCCAGCATGGGTGTCTAGTCACTTATGCAGTGTTTTTTAGTCGACAGTTTTGTCAAAGATGCAGGCTTGTGATTTGTGGGGATGTACCTAACTTTCCAGTGTAGTTTGGAGAATTCCCCCAACAAGCAAATGACCACAAAGCCGTGAATTATTTAATTAGACTGTGTCCTAGGATAAGCGGAAGAAAGCAGTCGAAGCTGACGTGCCATTTTTTATGGGGGTGAGAAAATGTAGACCTCAGTCTTGTGTTTCAGCCCACCGTCCCCCAACATGCGCTTTCCGATTCTCATGCACTTAGGCGTCCATGCAAATATAAGTGATGAAATGCACGTCGCAATCATCTGTTTATTGGTTGACTTAGAAAAAACAAGCTGCGTCTGACCTTTCGGGCTCGTAATTTAACAAATCACTAAGAGTTGTAATGATTCACCACGTATGGTGATTTGATGAATTGTCAGGATTCACGGTTATGGTTGAATAAAAATATATATATATATTTTTTGCATTGTGGTGGATGTATTAGACACTGGTGGGGTTACATTGACCCATTACATACAAAATATACAACTGCATTGATTCTTTCAGGAACAATTCTAACAATTATTTCAGCTTCATAATCGATTTTAATCAATGGATTAATGTATCATTACACCTCCAATGCTATATAAGCATTTATAGCAATACTCACGAAATCCAATAGTTAGTGATCTCCAGATAGAGATTTTTTAAATGTATCTGTGGTTGTTGCTGATGGAATTTCAGAATTGTAAACTGTTATTGAATTATTATGGAAGCTAAATGTGATTTACTCCTGTTTGAAATTTAGATTTTGCCTTGTAAAAGAAATATACAGTTTACGTTAAGCACACGTATGTTATAGATATGGGGGTGAATCGGTGGCACAATGATTCATGAACTTAACTATGAACCTGACCACCTGAGTTCATTTCTGGCCGTGGCTAATATCAATGACGAGTGGCAACTAAAGCACTCCTGGGCACTCTTCTCTAACATGTGCTGGCCAACGTGGCGAAGTACAATCAAACAATTATCATGCCTAACCGAGCACGGAGAGACCTTTATCCTCCAGTGAATTTGCAAAGAACTGCACATTTATATTGCGGATGCATTATTTTGCCTAATAGTAAGGAATGAGAGGGGCAGTCAGTACAAACAATGTTGTCCCCTCATTTGTTTGTCAGTCCCTGTTGTATAATTAAATGACGTAGGCACATTCACATCAAATTCCGCATTTCAAAACGATCAATGAACACATTTTGAGCAGTGCGAGTTGTCTTTTTTTTTCACAGCAGTACAAAACGCGGGCCTCCGTTGCATTGACTCACCGCTGTAGCTTGCAGGGATCTTCACCTCTGAGTTTGGGGTGACTCTCATATTGCCGTCGCACAATGTGGCCGAAACTCTCAATAACGAGATGCCTGTGATCTTTATGATATCTCCTGTAGAGAGTGTACCAGCCGTTGTCGAACAGTCATAAAGAGAGCCTGTTGATAGGAAGGAAATGACACACGTACTGTATGCCTTTTGCAAATACCACGGCACCTACAATTTCCATTTGTGATGAAGATACATCACAAAACGTCCTTACCCTCCTGCAGTATTCTGTTGTCCATGTCATTTGCCTATGTTCCAGTCATAGTGATTTATTGCTGAGCATCGAACCAGTGTTGGAAATTCCACATTCCTATGGTGAGGAGGGAGTCTCGCCATTGGACAACCGCTGTTGGATTTCCCCACAAAGTGGTACATGCGTTTTCGACGCCAGAGAGATGATGGGCTCAGTCACCCCCGCCTCCTCACTCCCCCCCCCAACCAAGTTTTTGAATCACAGCCTTCGTGTTGCGAGCCGTTCGCTCTCACGCTGAGTCACCTGGCGAGTTTATGCTTCATTAAACGTTATTGTTATTTGCATTGTAAAAAAAAAAGTTAGACCCTTGTCGTTTTATTATTGATTATTGTGAAATGTTCCCTTCGGAAAGAATGTGTTGCATCTCAGTGTAGTATCTCGGTGGTTACTGCATTCAGTATTATTGACACGACACGATAATGCTGTGTAAGTGAATACGCACCTTGCTGAGCTTTACATATTTATTTTGCCTGTTTGTTTATATAGGCTTCACGAATGAATTAAAGTAATTATTTACAATTAGTCTACAGCGAATACATTCAACTGATTAATGATGGTAACGCGTTAGGATTGTTTTTTTATAGCGAAAGGAAACTTCCTTCACAAAACATGTTTTTGCTAAAGATATAAGGCAACAGATACATCCGGTAGCAGAACATGTCAGTAGGATATAGTAATAGGTTTTACCCTTTTAACTGGCACAAAAACTGACACCTTTATTCAAGGCATCATGTTTGCAATAACCACAACACAAGCAGTCAAAATACATCTGGTCCAACACCAGTGGAGACTAGGCTCTAAGAAAAGCCGTCTCGGGTGTGGACCAATCAAATTCAAGGACAGTGCATATTATTATCAGAGTTGTCTTTTTTGTTTGCATTTTGACTGCTTGTGTTGTGGTTATTGCAAACATGATGCCTTGAATAAAGGTGTCAGTTTTTGTGCCAGTTAAAAGGGTAAAACCTATTACTATATCTTGTTACTGGCAAAGGAGGTCTCATAATGTCAGGAGGAGTACTGTCGTGTACCCGATGAAATAAAATATTATGAAGTAAAACACGTTACGCTAAAGCCGTTGACTAGTGCCGGATTAAGCTCGTGCGGGGCCTGTAGCATGATGTTATAAGGGGCCCTAAATAAAAAAAAACACAAATATTAAAAGACATTTTTTACTTGCATAGTAAAGTAATTGTATTGTTTCATTTGCTATACAGCCAGATAATACGACAAATGGCTAACCTTAACCACCCAGTCGTTCATAAAAGTTGAAGGCAGTATAGTACTATAGTAATAGAGCAAGTGCAGAATCACTGGACCGGAATTGACAGCTTGAAAGTATTTAGCGCGGGGCCCTTGAAAGTGCGGGGCCCGTAGCTACTACTACATATGTAGCTACTACTACATATGTAGCTACTACTACATATGTAGCTACTACTACATATGTAGCTACTACTACATATGTAGCTACTACTACATATGTAGCTACTACTACATATGTAGCTACCGCAGCTACTACTGCATATGTAGCTACTACTACATATGTAGCTACTACTACATATGTAGCTACTACTACATATGCAGCTACTACTGCATATGTAGCTACTACTACATATGTAGCTACTACTACATATGTAGCTACTACTACATATGTAAATACTACTACATATGTAAATACTTTTGCTACGAGTAAAATCCGGCACTGGCCGTGACTCGTGTCATGTGCCAGTGTTGATGAATCAGAATGGTGAAGTTAAAATTGCACGTCTTCCGTGGGGCTTCTTGTTGCGAAATGCACAATTGTGAAATCATGTCAATGTGGTCACATTTCCATTTCAGTATTTCATCACAGGTTAAAAAAAAACACAAACAATTTGAGTCTGCAACGAGCAGCATATTGTACAGTACACTCTCGTATGAACGCTAAAACAAGTTCCACCATACGTATATATACTTGGAAGCTTGTGCTTTTTTTACATTAAATTATTTCATGTCAAGTAAAGTGTTCCTGTTTTCCAACTACAGAACTGAATAAAAATCCTCCCCTCCCTTACAAATGCGTAGTCAAGCTGCAGATGGAATACCATTGTGGTTTTCTAAGACGGTAATACTTATGAACTGAATTCGAATGCTGTAACGTACGTCCTTGTACTTGTGTGTGTATGGCGCATAATTGTGGAAATTGTTTAGTGTTAAGAATGTTCGTCCTTTATTGAACGTTACAATACAGAATCTAGCATATGTAATCATGAATTAGCCGTTGTAAAAGACAGTTGTACTTTGCGCCAACGATTTAGTTTAACTGTCTTCATACCAACTTGATTTGAAGCTTTCGTGACTGCAGGAATTAGTCTTTGGTTCTTTCGGTAAAGTCACGTAGAAATAAAATAAAATAAATAATAGAATGCCCGACGTTTCGAAACGTCGTGTATTCTATTACTTCTTTTACTTCGTCGTGTATTCTATTACTTATTTTACTTCGAAACGTCGTGTATTCTATTATTTATTGTATTTTATTTCTACGTGACTTTACCGAAAGAACCAAAGAGTATGGATCCTTGCAGTCACGAAAACTTCAAATCCAGAACATCCCCATTCTACTAGGCAAAGCGCACGGAGGTATGAACTTATTTTTTCACGATGAATAAAGTACTGCACAGTAGTGATTTCAGGAATTTCATAACATGGTTTTCACAACCAATATAATTCACAATTCGTTTCTTTTAGATTACATCGTGTAGGTATGCCAAGATTTTTTTTAAAATAAATTTTGGCCAAATTTTGCTTGCGTTTTAATATTCCGTTCTGAAAAACCAAAGCGATTGTCACGTTTGCCCACGTGACAACTTGATTTGATCGGCTCTGTTGGGTGGTGGATGGCTATAGTAAAAAAAAACACATTATACATACACGATCTAACCCAAAGGAAACATTATGGACGCTTTTTGGAAGCTTCGAATTGGTTGTCTTGTGGTGGGAGCTGGAAACCTCATTAACCGTTTCGACAGTAAAACGCCCATGGCACCAGAGCTCCTCCAAATTAACAAAAGCCCGTAGGATAACCTAACACACTTTAGCCTTGCAATTATATACATAAAAAAATACAGTCCGTTCTCCGATAACGCGAATTGGACATACTGCGATGAATGTGTAAAGGTACACATTTTTTAAAACGTGGATTCAAATAGGATATAACGCGATTGAGCGAACAGAACTACGTCGCGCGAGTCGGAATAGGCGGTTGTACGGCTGCCTCGGTGTAGCATTGCAGATGGTGGGATGCTGCTGGATGTTTTTAGATGCTACCCACGCGCATCAGTCTTTGTTGAGCATGCATATGCATCTCACGTGTTATCGCAGACTGTGCTTTAACCCTATATTATATATATATTTTTTATTTTAACGCGATTTTTTTCCATAAAGCGGTGTTCTTCAGGAACGCAACTAATGCGTTATAGGGGAACAGTTAATTGACCTTAAGTTCTTGTTTTAACAAACAAACTTTTAAATGTGACATGTCGATATTACAACACCAGCCCTGGAATGAAAATATACTCTTACAATGTCACATTTAGGTATAGACAACATTCTCAACCGGACAATTAGGTTATAACGTGATTGACATTACAGCTATATGCAAGGGTGGTAAAAAGCACGCTATATATATACACACACACCTGCTATGGTGGCATTGGACACCTTTACTGGTGGACTTTGTTTTATATAATGTATTTAACATCGTGGACTGTATTTGTAATACGAGCACAATGCAGCGTGTCACATTCCTACAGGTTGAATTCCATATTCCGTGTTTCTCTAGAAAGAGATGTGATCACGGGAACATGTCAGGTTTTATTTTTGATTTAAACGTATAGTGAGCACGCTCCAGTCTATTCGTGTCATGATAAGTTTAACTTCTCACATGTTACGGAGCGAATGCAAGAAGTGGCTTGCAGGCTGATAAATACAAAAAAAGGGCACAAAAACCTTCATACGGAATCCAATATTGTGCAGTCTCGGCATAGCGTTTGTGAAAGCATTGTATTAAAGTTGGCAGAATACATTGTAAGTGAATTTGTACGACTCACCAAACAGGCACAACATTTAGCTGTCAAGTCTGTGTTTCATAAGCGTGCACGTCCCGACATCTGTACCACAGTCGATTAGCAACAAAGCGAACACGTGTAAGATTAAACTATACGTATTTACCTTCATCATAAACTCCTTCCGTGACCTCAATAATTCGGGGAAGATGAGCTGGGTTCAAATGATTGATGTAATTCTCCAGAGAAATGCTTGAGACCTGACTGCTCATGGCCATTGTTTCGTCTAGTCTGTGGCGAATTGCACGGTTCCACTAGTGTGGACGTGCATCTGTTATGACGACCAGGGTTCAAAGTGCGGCCGAGCCAGAAGTGGGTGCTTGTAAATGATAAGCAACGAAAGCAGAAGTTAATAAATAACTGCAAGCCAATTCTCAATGCATGTGTGCTGTTACTGCGCTATATGTTAATTTGTGTGCACATATACGTCGAATATAAATGGAATGCTGACGTAAGAAAGTAAAACCTCGAATTTGTTTTACTTGTTGGGGAAGAAATTCGTGGAACAATACATTTATAAATCACATCAAACTATTTGAAATGTATAAATTGCTCCGGAATCTAAGAAACGTGACATCCACGGTGGGCGCCCATCCAATTGCTATTCAAATTCAATGTTGCTCTATTTCTCAGAAATGGCGTAATCGGGTGCATTTCGGATGATTTCTCCAAATATGGTAATGCCTAGCTCAATGCGTGTTCACGCAACGCGTTTTCGTTATAGTACGCAACGCTCCGAAGTTAATGATGTACAATTTTGATTTGAAGCTTTCGTGACTGCAGGAATCCATACTCTTTGGTTCTTTCGGTAAAGTCACGTAGGTAGAAAATTAATAGATCACGACGTTTCGATCGCAACACAAGCAATCGTCATCAGGTGAGACAACCACAGCAAGAAAAAACTTCTGGAGTAGGCGAGAGATCTGCCGTGGCACGAGGTTATATAGTAGGCGGCCTCGGCAGTAGGGGGGGGAGAGAGAAGGTGAGGGGAGAGAGGGGACGGGGCAGAAAGTGGACCCCACGGCAGCACCCAGGCCACTGGAGTACTGGAGTAGAGATCGGAGAGAGATGCACAGAGATAGAGAGAAAGACACATAGAGAGTTGGAAATAATAGGTGACAAAGAGAGGTAGGATGGAAACATCACAGTCAGTTAAGACTTTACCTGGTGAATAACGTCCTTCCAATGGTTATATATCTGGATGGCTTCATCAACAAATCTGTGATGATAGCCGGTGGGTTTACAGAGAACCTTCAGCTTGGAAAAGTCAATTTCGTGTGAGCCCACAGCGTTAAAATGAAGATCAGCAACGGCAGAGGTATTGGTCCTACCGTGTTTCAGATCTGCCTTGTGTTCGCGAACGCGGTTCGAGACATGTCGTTTCGTTTCCCCAATGTAACTGCTGCCGCAGCCACAACTCAGTTTGTAGACACCCGGGTATTGCATGTCAGGAATCACATCCTTTACAGATGGGATCAAATCACGGATTTTGTGTACTGTGTTGAAACGCACCTGGATCTTGTGTTTGTTTAAGATTTTTGAAATATTTTTGGTAACCCCTGCTATGTATGGCAAAGTGATGGTATTGGTTGGGTCCTCAGATGGTTGTCTTCCCATGGCTGGGGAGACAGCTTTGCGGATTGTACGGTCATCCTGAGGGCTTGGTGTACGTGCTCCAGCTCACTGGCTAGGTGATGCTGGTCGGAGATGCAACGGGCCCTATGGTGTAGTGTTTTGATGAGGGAATTCTTCTGGGCTGGATGGTGGTGGGAGTTAGGCTTTAGATTGGCATCCGTGTGGGTGGCTTTCCTGTAGACAGTGTCCCAACGAGCCATCAGGTCTCTTCTCGATCAAAACATCCAGGAATGGTAGCTTGCCATCCTTTTCCACTTCCATGGTGCGTACATAGTATCTCGCCAAACTTTATCATTACTACATTGTTCATGGGGAAATTATTTTTGCTCAACGAGGCACTATTCAGGAACGCATCTACCGCGTTAAACGAGGACTTACTGTACTGCATGGTGGCTATATTTGCTACATGGCTATGCAGAGAGCAGTACAGCAACATTAATCGTTGTACTGTAATTCTATGCTCCTACATCTGTGCTTCCCACCTTTACCAACCTGCACAGGTGGGTTTGCCAATTCTGACTGAAGCTATTCGAGGATATTGTTTTAATTCCGAATTTATTTTCTAAAACGTCCCCTTCAAATATCCACAGATTGCTTTCAATAGTGACCGGGAGGTCGATGCCAATTCCGACAGACTCCCAGCCAATATGGGAGTATTGTCACTCTACGATCAAATAGCCCCCCATTGACAGCACGGTATGTTGAGTGAGGCCCTCAGCCAGCAGTAGATTAACAAAAGGTTGTATGTGTACATGTATACTATACACGTCGCGTTTTACCCATTGTTGCGGTTTCCAATTGGGCACTGGAGAGTCTCTTGGATTGGTCAGTAGCAGACACGTTTTGCCGTGAATAAGCAATGTTCCCACTTGTGCAAGGACATTGTACTATTAAAGGTTCTGTCTTGGTCTAAAGGTTAAAAAACGTTGCTCCATCACTTATATAATTTATTTTTCAATAGGGTACTGCAATGTTCTCTGCATATAATTAGGAAACTTTCTGCCTTTTTGGCTCAAGGGTAGTCACAGTAGGGTGCTCTTTAGTGAGAAGAAAATTACTCTTACCCAGCTAATTCTAGAAATATATGTATTTTATACATGAGATATAATATAAAATCAGCATTGTTTATAAATTGCATGCGGTATCTATGCTGTTGCTGCTGATGATACATTGTGTATAATGTATGGTATGGCCTCCAATCACATTCTAGTGAATGCTCTCCTTACCATGAAAACAATGACGTTATCATTACCAACAATGGGGCAGATTGTTATTTTATTCTTCTTGTCGTACGGCTGATGTAGATGCAGAGCAACAACTGCAATTTCACATTCAGGTGGTCAAGCCCAGATGGTCGCGTCAGGCGCAGTGGAGCGTATCGCTGTGATGTCTCCTTCGTATTTGTGGATCGGGGCGTTGTGTCCTGACAGGTTGCATGGTCTGTTTTGGATGACCACAGTCGCACGCTACTGCTGGAGAGTTTTTAAGTTTCCATTTGTGCATCAGGTATCCGCATCTGCCATGGTTTGTGCGGATGCGGTTTAGGGTGGACCATGAGCTTCGTCGATGATCAAACCCAGGAATCTTCTACGTTGGGTCTTTCACAAGGTGTTTGCTGGTGAGCTATTTTGAACTCCGTTCAGCTCTCCCAAGCTTCATCTCATCGGGGTTGAGTTATTTCATGAAGGCACCATCTCACACGTTCCTATGATGTAACAATTGACCTAATACCCACACGTGAACTGATCACGGTAGATGTGTGATGACCGACGCAATAAACCACCTTCGATGACAGGGTGCGCGTGCAGACGGACGGTAAGGAAATGTGTTAATTAAAGGCCTCTGATTGGTTCCGGGAGACCTCACAGTGGACTGGTTACGGTCAGAGAATTAAACTGATTGGAAGAGAGATTGAAGCATAAAAGACGGAGAACGAGGGTTGACTGTCGGGGGGAACGATTGACAACCATTAGGGAAGAAGGATGAGGATTGGCAGAGGGAAATGGGGTGAGCGGACCCTCGAGAAAGGGAGCTGGAGGCATATAAAATGGGGATAGCTCAAGGGGAAGGGACGGTTGGAGAGAAGACGAAGTTTGGGCCAAAGAAAGTGTTAGTGTCTACAATAAAGGCTCACAGTAAAGCAAGAACGTGTCGGTCGTCATTACAGATGTCTGCTATCGAATGCATTTCCTCTCCTTGCTATCACTCCATCATTATTCTCTGCGACCGGCCGTCCCTTTTCGTGACATATCCTGCCCAAGCCCGTTTTTCTTAAAATGCCTTTGTAGGAAAAAAATACAGAATCGGCGACGTTGCCTACTGCAGGCGCCCCTCGTGTTACAATCCCCGCCCGTAGCGTTATGCGATTCATGATATGAACAAACATTTATAATCCTGGCGTGATATTTAGTTAACATTTCTTTTTTTAATTGCTATTTAGCCAGTTTAGAAGCGTTGCCTTGCAGGAAACTACATGCATTAATGTAGTGACCGAGGTTAGCTGATTGAGAAGGATTCTAGGACTATCAAATTTGTGGAGACTGAGAAGTGATCGTATCAGAAAATGCTTTTTCATAAAACAACCTAATGAGACAAGGTTTGGGCAAGAAGGCGACAGTGGTTCGGACATGTTACAAGAATAAGCCTCGACAGGATTCCTAGCTTGGCGATGTATCACTGAAGGAGAAGGAAACAAGAGTAGGAGATGATATAAAATCATGTGAATAGAGGCAGTCGTAACATATAGAACAGCAAGGATAGAGATTGAGCGCTTGGAGTAACCCTGGCTAAAGAAAGAGAACCATGATGAAAATTCGTTTGAGTCCCCCATTGTTGCTAACTAGCTGAAGGTCAGAACAGATGATGATGATGAAGCCTTGTAGTGCTTTTCCCTGGCCACGAGACAGCAGCATACACCATGTGCTGGGCATGGAGGTATAATTACACAATTACCTGTGCAGCTTACCTTAGATTTGAAATATTATTTCAATAAGACAAAATAAATATTCTGAAGATAAGTAAGCTGTTGTATGTGTCACTACAACATTTCAAACTTGGGCAATTAACATATATAAATGATAATATGAAAGTGATGAATATTTATAAAACATGCACATCGCTGTAAAGTAAGAAACGCGACTCAAGGTATTATCGTGGTATATTGTTGGGCACGCAAATTACAAAATAGTTTGCGAGGTGGCCAGATGGCTCAGGGGTCAGATTACTAAGCCAGGACTGCTGAGGACCCTGAATCTGAGTACGGTATAGTGCAGTGTAGCGGGATGATGGTCTCAACAAAGTCACCAACGAGTACGCAAAAACAAACGTATGTTTTAATCAATGTGCATAAAAAGACCATTGCTATCTGTAAAACATTTCAGGGCAAATAGGAGAGAGCAGCACAGTTGGTCTGGATACGTCACCTCAAGGGATCTAATAAGTACTGCAGTCGTGACATCACCTTCGGCAGCTCTTCTCTTAACACGTGGGGACAGAATGCTCTGTCATCATGGTTATAAATTGATGCTTCATTTCATGACGTGACAATGATAGCACAATTGGTATAAAATTGGAAAATAATTAGACCAAAAATGGTTTGCAGATGAATTATCTGTCACAGGTTCGTATCTGTTACGTGCAGTCAAATTATTAAACGTGCTGCACATTGCATAGCTTTCAAACACATGAACAAGAATATATTTGTGCATGACAGTTTTCGGATATATATTTTCATCTCAAACTATACAATTGAACCACA